GTATATAGTGGGGACAGTTTGGTCTAAAAAAATTATGTATGGCTAAATGAAAGACTCATCTAGAGGAGACAGTTGCCAAAAGAAAGTTATGTATGATAAATAAAATACTCACCTAGAGGAGACGGTTGGTAAAAAAAATTAAATATGCTTAAATAAAACAGTCATTTATTGGAGATGGTTGTTAAAAAAATAAAAAGAATTATTCCTTAATAAAATACACATCTAGAGGAAATGGTGGATAAAAAATAATTAAATATGTCTAAAAGAAAATAGTCATTTAAGTGAGACGGAGGGTAAAAAAAAAATTATATGTTTTTAATTAAAATATTCATCTAGAGGAATGGTTGATAAAAAAGAACTTAAATATTCCTGAATAAAATACTCATCAAAAGGAAACGGTTGTTAAAAAAATAAAAAGAATTATTTTTTTTTTTAAAAGACACATATAGAGGAAACGGTGGGTGAAAACAAATTAAATGTGTCTATAGACAATAGTCATTTAAGTGTGATGGTCGGTAAAAAAAAAATTAATATACGTAAAGAAAATATTCATGTAGATCTAGAGGAGACGGCTAGTAAGTAAAAAATTAATTATTCCTAAAAAAATACTCATCCAGAGGAGACGGTTTTAAAAATTTTAATATTCCTAAAAAGAAATACTCATCTAAAAGAAATGACAGGTAAAAAAAAAATATCATATATACCTGAATCAAATACTCATTCAGAGGAGAAGGTGGGATAAAAAAAAAATTAAATGTGGCTAAATATAATACTCATCTAGAGGAGACGATTGGTAAAAAAAAAAAAATTAAACGAGCCTAAGAAAAATACACATCTAGAGCAGACGGTGGGTAAAACAAATTTTTTTTCCTAAGTGAAATACACATCTAGAGGCAACGGTTGGTAAAAAAATGATATATGCCTAAATAAAATACTCATTTAGAGGAAACGGTGGGTAAAAAAGAATTAAATATGCCTAAACAAAATAGTCATTTAAATGTGACGGTTGGTAAAAAAAAAATTGAATATGCCTAAAAATATAGTCATTTGGAGGAGACGCTTGTTAGAAAAATAAAAAGAATTGTTCCTAAATAAAATACACATCGAGAGAGGATGGTTGGAAAAGAAAATTAAATATGCCTAAAGAAAATAGTCATTTAAGTGTGACGATTGGTAAAAAAAATATTAGGTATTCCTGAATAGAATACTTATCTAGATGAGATGGTTGGTAAAAAAAATTTTAAAATTTTTAATAATAAAAAAAAAATTTTTTTTTAAATATAAAAAAAAAATTTTTTTTTTAAATTAAAAAATATATATATATATATATATATATATAAAATATGGGCCTACATCAAATACTCATCTACAGGAGACGGTTGGTAAAACAAAAAAATTTAATATGCCGATATGAAATAGTCATTTAGAGGAGACGGTTGGGAAAAAATAAAAAGAATTATTCCTAAAAAAAAAAACAACTCTAGAGGAAACAGTGGGTAAAAAAATATTAAATATACGTAAAGAAAATAGTCATTTAGAGGAGATTGTATATTTAAAAAAAATTAAATATGCATAAAGAAAATACTCATTTAGAGGAGATGGTTGGTTAAACAAAAATTAAATATGCCTTAATACAATGCTCATCCAGTGAAGATGGTAAAAAAAAAAAATTAAATATGCTAAAATATAAGACACATCTAGAAGAGATGGTTGGTAAAAAGAAATTATTAAATATTCCTCCAGAAGGGACGAAAGGAAAAGGACCTACATGTGCTCGGATCCATTGCCAAAGAAAAGTATTTTGCCTTCTGTCAACACATACCTGTTTTGCAACTTGCATCGAGTGTGTCGGATTACTATCCCAGTGAGTGGAGACTTTTCTTAGTTTTAGTTAGAGTTTTACGGCACTTGCAACATAATAAGGTCATATAAGGTGTTACAAGAGAGTAACAAACACAAAAAAGAACGAGGAGAGATAAGGACGATAGATGTTAGATAGAAGGAGCAAACCACACCAGAGCACCTGCCAACGACCAACAGACTTTCCTTAGACAGTCAATAAGAAGTCTTAATCAAATGTGTGCTAGATCTACTCCATATTGGGAATTTATTTGGGTTCATCCCCATCACTAGGTAGTGTAAATAGGGACTGCAACTGAAGGATGTGTGGTGATGATAATTCCTCCACAGAAAGTTTCTGTCATGAACTCCTGTCCCCACGGTTTTATTCATCCCGCATTATTTAGAAAAATTTGATCATTTTTTTCGTAATTTCTGATTATTTTCCTGTATCATTCTTTATAATCTTTGTTAAAATTAACAGAATCGCACAATTTTACACTGTGGGCTCAGTTTGCATAATTTCATAATTTTTTTTGCATGCATAAAACCGCAGGTACAAATGAACCTGTAGCCCTCGGCTTACACATGGACTACACTGTACACTTACGCCTGTGCCTATTGCCATTGGGGAAATTGAATAAGGATTTACGTCATTTTAGTATTAGTAAGAGTTTTGCGACACTTGCAACACAAAAAGGTAATACAAGTGCCGAAGATTAGAGGTGTCACAAGAGAGTAACAAACACAAAATAGAAGGAGGAGAGATAGATCAGGACGATAGATGTTTGGTAGGAAAGAAAAAGCAAACCACATCAGAGCATCCGCCAACCACCCACAAAGGGGTGAGGGTGGGGGGGGGGGGGGGGGGAAATGGTCATTTGTACAGTTGGTGAAATAGACCAGGTATTACTGTATCCACAACCTCTCCCCGCGGTTTTATGAAAAAAAAAATGAAGAAATTATGCAAATTAAGCCGAAAAATGTGAAATTATGCAACTCTGTTAATTTGAACAAAGAATGATAAGAAAATAATCAGAAATTATGAAAAAAACGATCAAATTTGGCTAAATTGTGCGGGGTGCATAAAACCACGGGGACAGCACAACGAAAAATAAACCCCCAAAGGGTCAAGTGTCAGAAAAAATCAAACTTTCCAAACAAACCAAATGCAAAAACGCTGTATTCATGAGGGTTTAATTACGTAGAGACATATACAAAACACTGACATATTATGTGTACAAAATGACAGCGATAACGATTGCCGTACTTCCGGGATTGTAAACACCTTGTTGTCACTACGGCAAAGATTTAGTTAGTTTTTAGTTTTAGTAAGAGTTTTACGGCGCTCGCAACGGCATAAGATCATATGAGCGCCAGAAGATTAGAGGTGTTACAAGAGAGTGACAAACATAAAAAAGAAGAAGGGGAGATAAGGACGATAGATGTTTCATAGGAAAGAAGAAGCAAACCACACCAGAGCACCCGCCAACCACCTACTACAACATTGTTGGTTTAAAGAAGAAGACACTGAGTGGCACCATCGATTACCTATAGCCGGACATTTTACAATTTTATTCTAACAATAGGACTAGGGAGTCAGAGAATGGGAAGTGACAACCCCTGCTGAGAGGGATACAACATTCCAGCAGAAAGGCAGAGATACTCAATTAAAATTCATTCACTCACCCTTGGAATCAAAATCAAACAGATTTTTAAAGAAGACATACATAAAAAGTGATGCAATTTTTTCCATATATATAGTCAGCGGATAGAAAAAAAGACATAATTATTGGAATTCATCCGAGTTCATTTTGAGCAAAGTCCACTACACAAAACATTCATGAATTAAAAAACAAAACATAGAAAGAACAGGCCAACAACTGAAAGACACGGTCAGTGGTTGATCCTTCAGTTGATCCGTTGGGACACGGTTGATCCGTTGGGACACGGTTGATCCGTTGGGACACGGTTGATCCGTTGGGACACGGTTGATCCGTTGGGACACGGTTGATCCGTTGGGACACTGTGAGTAAGGCACATGGTGCCTTCATGTCCTCAAACACAGAAGAAGGAAGAAAAGTAAAAAGACGAAGAAATAAAAGAAAATCAACAACATAACAGATCTATAAATGACATTCGAAGAGCCCAACATATCAAATACTGTAAACATCTGGAGATCCAAAACTGGTACAAGACAATTAGTAAAGCACATCTACTGTAAACTGACAAAACTCCTTTTTTTTCATTTTGGCACCAAATGTTTTATTCGCTAAATTGAAAGCCTGGTTGGTTACCCTACTTATGAGAAAAAAATCAAAGCGAAAATGTGACTAGTTTTTTAATAAATTTGAATTCAACTTCCCGAACAACGCTATTTTTAAATGGTTATGCAGACAAAAAGCCTCTTTTTCTCGAAACTACTGTGAAGGAAAAAAAGGTGTTTTGTCAGAGTACGGCAGAGATGTAAAAATGTAATCAGTGCCAGAGAGATGATCTGATAAAATGAGTTACTCCTCGGATTTTAGCCCCATGGAAATAAATGTGTCAGGTTAATAGGTGGAGTTTATACAATTTATAAGCATGAAATAATAAAAAACATGTTAAGCTTGAAGAAAATGGCATCGATTGAAAATCTGCAAATTTGACCCAGGTATCTATTTTCGGCCGATATCTCCATTTGTGGATTGCAAGAAGTAACTCCTTTTGTCAGCACACCTCATATTTATAACGGACATCAAAATGGAATTATGTTACTATTGTTAACTACCAAAGACTAATTAAAAAGTCAGACTTCTACTACTGACGTGGAAGAAATGAAAAAATATCGCGACCTCAGTGCTTTCTTGTCCTATCTCCATTTCTTTAACATTGAAAATGTGACTTCTTCTGAAGCTCACTCTTTGTTATGAACTGTTTTCTCAGTTATTAAAAATGGAGACAGGACAAGAAAGCACTGAGGTCGCGATATTTGGTCGCTTTACAGCACAAGTGGACTATCCCGAGAAATGTTGTTTTGAGAAAATCGAAGGAAAAGTATTTGCCCCTTGTTCAGTTTCTTTAAAAGACAAGGAGAGTTATCTCTATAACCAAACAAATATACACATCAATGAAACCAAACTTCTCCTATAGGTAGGGCAGTGCCCACTTATGGTGAGCTGTAGGTCAAGATTTCTGGAAACCCCCGTAATCTGGGTTAGCCCGCTTGTCCTTAAAAGCGACCAATTAACAACTACTTTCGGTACATAGATATTCAACAACTACTTTCTGTACATGAGAATATATCACAGCTGCAGCAGAAGATGGGGGTCGTCCGGGGGGGGGGTGACGTGGCAGCCGTTGGTTAGCTGAGGCTGGTGTCAAACTTGTGAAGGAACCCGCTCAGATTGTAGACCTGGCCGTGCTTGACGCTCTTGTCCATGGAGATGAACTCTTGGATGTTGTTGCTGGAGGCTGTGGATTGTAGAGAGAGTGAGAGAGAGAGTGAGAGAGAGAGGGGGGAGAGAGATGGGGGGGGGGGGAGAGAGAGAGAGAGAGAGAGAGAGAGAGATCATGAGAGAGAAAGGGGGGGATAGGGAGGGGGAGGAAGAGAGAGAGAGAGAGAGATCATGAAAGAGAAAGGGGGGAGAGGGAGGGGGAGGGGAAAGCCATGAAAGAGAAGGGGGAGCGGGAAGAAAAAAACACAACGGGGGGGAGAGAGAGAGTGAGAAGGGGGAGAGGGAGAGGGGAGGAGAGGGAGGCTTACGGGAGTAAATCATCCACGGACACGAAAAATTACAGGTACACAATGAAAACCAAACTGTAAACTTGAAGATTAGGGTCAAGGCATAACCAACTGTATCACAGACACTAGAAGACAACTGAGACAAGCATACCCCTATATATAAACATGAGCACATACAAGGTTCTGAATCAGCAGAACACAAAAAGGGGGAAATAAAGCATGATTTCCCTCCCCCCCAAAAAAAAACAAAATTAAAAAATAAAAAAAATTAAAAATATAAAATAAGTCAAAACAAAAAAAATTATAAATCAAATTAAATTAAATAAACTAAAATAAAATAAAATAAAACAAAACAGATTTTTTTTAAATAAAAAAAAAAAAGAATCAAATAAGATAAAATAAAATAAATTCATGAATGAATGAATGAATAAAATTAAAACATTTGATAAAATAATTACAAAAATTTCGAAATAATATTAAATAATAAATAAATAAAATTTCAAACTAAAAAAAAATACAGATAAATTATGAAACTTTGTATTAAATAGAAAATAATCAGGACAAGTAACCAGTCGCACACAGAGAAACAGCTCAGCCAAAAAGACACGGCGTACATTTGTACGTACCCTCAGTCTTGATGGGGGGGTAGTCCGGTGGGGGAGACATCCAGCCTCCCTCTTTGTCCAGCATGTGGGACCGGTCAGAGGCAAAGGTGGACAGAAACTCCTGGCCGGGAATCACGCGAAACATTCTGGAAAGAAAAAAAAGTTAAAGTCTGTCAAAATGCCTCAGAGAAAAGTACAGTCACTCAGTTTTTTTTTAGCTAGTTTTAGTAGAGGTTTTACGGCGTTTGCAACAGCATAAGGTCATATGAGTGCCAGAGAATTAGAGGTGTTACAAGAGAGTAACAAACATAAAAAAGAAGAAGGGGAGATAAGGATGATAGATGTTTCATAGGAAAGAAGAAGCAAACCACACCAGAGCACCCACCAACCACCCACACAGTCACTCGGGTGACAGCAACGCATGTCGTGAGTGTTCTTAAAGAGTAATTGAGAAAAATACAGAAAAGGTTTAAAAGGAAGATATGAAAAAGCAAAAATAGAATTGAAAGAAAAGGAGAGAAAAAAACAACATTTCTTGCCAGCTGTATGTGTACTAACAAAAAAACAAAAGGTAAATAAGCAAACACACTTATCAAGAACAAACAAGTTTCCCCTTAATGTAAACTTTTCCACCAACCCATATATTTATTCTTTTTTCACATGGGTAGTTTGACTATATCAAAACCGGTTTTCCAAAGTTCTTTTGTTTCGTCACAAAAGAATTTGACGACTATTACTATTTCCACACTTCTTTTTTTATAACAAAAACAGCGTGACTTGCTTTCTTTTAATTTAAAAATAAAAAGTGTTTTACAGGGTTCGCAACCGCAGGCCGCCAAAGCCTACTCTTATCGATTTTAGAAAACAGCACGACTGCTAGAGACACAAAGACCTCGGAGACATACAGCACAGCTGACCTCTTGTACTTGGAGTGCATCGACTTCTCATCACCGATCCCCGCGGCAGCGTACTCTTTGAGGTGGCACGGGAAGCTGAGCTCTGTATCGAGGTCATAGACCAGAGGCGACTCTTTCTCGTTATACACCATGATGACGTGGTAGTCCTGCGACAGTCGGGGAGAAATAATGGGTCATGTTGGGGAGTTCAGCAATATGACAAGGCCAGAAGAAGAAAACACAAGGAACTAAAAGGGAAGGGGGCGGGGGGAGAGAGAGCGGGGAAGAGGGAGAGGAAGAGAGAGAGAGAGAGAGAAACAAAAAGGGGAGATAAATGGTGTGTTCCGAGAAAGATACAAGAGGGTGCGTTGCAAGCACGCATGTCTGCGCATGTGTGTGGGTTTGTATGCGTACGGGGGTTGGGGGTGGGGGGGGGAGGGGGTGTTATGGTTTTTTCTCTCACTTATTTATAGTTATTGATAAATAAAGGACAGCAAACTGTGTTGCTAAAGACAAAGGGTAAAATTAACAAAATAAAGGAAAGCAACCAACGTACACCAAATTGTTTTTTAACTAAGTTAACAAATTAATCCCCCTGATGTTCAGAAGTCGTTCGGACAAAACAAAATTGCTACTTTTCGTGTGCTCCCCCTACACCAGTACGTTATAGACAGCTGTTTGTCATGCCGCATGTGGGGTTCCGATATATCGTGTAAAAAACACACCTGATAAAACTGGGACATTGACAACAACACCTGAAAAAATTGTCAGAAAACTGAACAATAACTGGACATACCCATACAACAAGCCGCTCAGGGTTCTTGCCAGCTCTCTGATGCCATAGAGGAATCTGTTCAGAAAGACAACATCACTGATAATTAATATGAATAAAAAATCGACACAGAACTAATTATTCCTGAAGCCAAGAAGGTAATCATTTAAAAAATTGGGGATTTTTAGCAATCTTTTTAACCAATGCAAGCATGTCAAACCTAAACTCACTTCTTGCAACAAATGTTTACCATAATTCAACTGAAAGCGGTACCGCTAGCAGCCAAATACAATGTTGAATGTGCAAGTCTAATGACAAATAAATCCAATAAAACCTCATCTGAGCTCATCTAGGAAGGCGCCATATTGGTTAAAGCTCTAGACACTGGTGTACACCAAAAGAAAACTGTCATGTTTGTGACAACAAATCTAAATCAGCACGTGCAAAACCTCAGTTCTCTCACTAAAATGTGCACTGTAAAGAGGTAAAGAATAGTTATAAATTGTAGATAGGTTTTTTACCTGTCTCTTATCGTTAGATATGAACACACAGCTGCATTTGTTGAATTCTTCCTCGGGACATGAATCTTTTACCAAGGCACACAGCTTCCAAACATTTTCTTCACTGTATAAAGATAAAAAGTGAAGAAAAAAATACAGCAATAATTATATTTTACTATTAACTAATATGTCAGGATGTGTATTTCAATTTGATTATTTAAACAAATTCATCTTTTTTCCTTAGACAAAAGAGAAGTAGTCAGAGAACGTGCACGTAACATTGAAGTGAGCTCGCTTGTAAACTAAAATAGCATCCACACCTTCACCATTTTTGTAGGTAGGCATAAAAAACCTGACAACATAAAATAGCCTTCCTCCCTAGTTTTGTCTTTAGTGCAGCAGAAGACTAGCCCCTTAAAATTCTAGAAGAAGAGAAAAAGACTTGCCATGCACACCCTCACACACAATACATTCCTCGTAAACAAAAGATTAGGATCAGAGAGTTGTGAAAAAGGAGGTACTGATCTCAAAAGAGAAAAATACTCACCATGCACACCCGAACGTACAATAATATTATATTCCTTGTAAACATAAAAGATTAGGATCAGATAATGTGAAAAAAAGGTACCGCTATCTCAAAAGAGATAAAAATTTTAAACAAACAAGCACAACGCCAAGTACTCACCAGTAGCATGCTGTGTAGGTGCACTGCTCTCTTTCTGAAGGAACCACCGATGTGACCTTGTTTTCTTCTATCGACATCTTTTCTTCTCACGACGCAAAAAGATCTGAAAGACAAAGAAATAATAATTAAGACCTATAGATACTCAATGCACTTTACCTCAAGTCATACATATATATGTCACGACTCGGTGGAACCAGGCACCCTTCAATTTTTCGGCGTGTGGAGTTCAGTATATTCTTAAAGCTTGTTCACGTATCTTGCTTTTGATGAAAAAATACCTGCATCTATCTTGAATAGAAGTCGAGATATTTACTATTTATGGAGGTGGGGGTCATCTGGTGTCAAAGGTAAAATTAGCCAGAAAATGACCACCAAAGTTTGGTGACTTCCATAGCTTGAGAGTCACTTGGAAACTGAAAATTAAAATTTATTGTGCCTTTAATAAAACAATATTGAGTAAAATCCACACAAAAAATTTAATGTACTTTTAAATTAAAGGAAAAGGTGTTTCAATTGAGCCAAAATACAAAATTTCAATAAAATAATATTACACTGAGTTGCTGGCTGTGGGACTGCAAAGTGTTAAATAGCTTTTCAGAAGATTCACTTTATACTTCCTTTTCAAATTATTTCATAATGACTATTCTTAGTCTTATTACCGCAGATAAATTCACTCTTGGTAGATGTTGAGGTAATCAGCAACTCAGTACAAAATATCCCATGATCTGGTCACCCAGCCAGGAGAGTGATTGAAATGGGACTTCTCAGGCCTGTCACAGAACTGTGTCAAGTGACAGAAACGGATAATTTTCACAGTCACATTTTTGCGGTAAGTGACCGCAAAGTATTAATCACATAAAAGTAATTTTAAAATGATTGACTACATCGGTTGCAGAAGTATGGGACCTGTTGATGCTTGACACGTGTACTGTAAGCTAAGCGGTGCCAGGCTGATTCGGGGGTGGTTGTTAAGATTTCCGCGTGTAATTTCGCTTTGCGTTTTTCATAGCCTCAGGCATGTTTCGCTTTGGTCCCTAAAACTAAAACCCTAACCCTGACCCTAAATTCTCCCGGTAAGAAGGGACCAAAGCGAAACATGGCCTGAGGCTGTGAAAAACGCAAATCGGAATTAAACGCGGGAATCTTAACAATCGCCGATTCGGGACCCATTGCCCACAGGAAAGCAAGGGTCAGCAGGGTACATTCGGTGAGCAAAAAATACACTTGCCCGGCCTCGTCGTGGGACCAGGGGCCAGAGTTACAATATAAAGAGACCCATCTGACAGGAAGGACTTCCGTAACGAGCGACCACCCCATCAAACACAATAAAGAAGAGGCCTGACCCCAAGCCTACCCTAACCCTAAATTCTGCTCTGTCTCATATGATAGTATATAGTATAGTGGTCGCTCGTTATCGAAGTCCTCCCCTCTGACAGCAGCTTAACTTTTGTGGGAGAATGTGTGTCTAGGGCTAGAGTCAAGGGTAGGCCTTAGTAGTATAGTAGAGATCTATCTTCATCATGTGTAGTTCTGTCTAAAAAATTCAATGAGAATCAATGTCAGCGACAAATTTAGCCAGTGTGTAGTGTGTAGGCGCTACGATACTCGATAGTGTCTGTCGTAACTTGGACTTGCAAAAAGTAAAGGCAGTATGAGCATGCAAATATACCTTTTCCTGTAAAAAAAAAATACTTAAGTCTTCAGCTTCCCTTCAGGAGTTTAACATTTAAATGTTATATCGTACACAGCAAACGAAATCACACTGTGTTGTGGGACTGCAACTGCCAGCTGAGTTAGTTATTGTTGTTGTTGTTGTCATTGCAGGTCAGGACCATGCCGGAGATTATTTGTGCGAAAATTACTGTTATGAATAAATTTTTGTAAAGTTTATTTTTTTGGAGGGCATTCTTTTAAATTATATTTATTCTGCCTGAATCGCATTCTCTGGCTCAAAATGTTATAACTCCATTTATACATCTAACAATTAGAACAATATTATTATATTTTCGATTTATTTGGTTACTTTTTTTAAAAAATTTCGATATACAATTGCAAAACTTAATTGGCATACCTACATGATTTCCCCCTTGTTTATGCCTCAGCAATTAAAAAATTAATAAGTGTTAGGTCCTGATATCGAAAATATAAATTATAAATATACAATCAGTGGTGTCCATCGTGAGCCACTAAAACAGTAATACCTGTTTCATAATATTTTTAAAGCATCTCCCATTTTGTAAGTTCCAGAACCTTGTTTAAGGGGGAAAACAGCGTAAGATCTGGAAATTCGCTATCCATTTTGTCATTTTGCGTTTCGGTGATTGTGTTGGAAGTAATTCTACATTTTAATAATTCTCCCGGGAAACACAAAATAACAAAATGGCGCCGGTGAAAATAAAGTACATCGTTTCATTTTCATCCCAGGTGAGCTTCTTAATTATTTTAGTTTAAAATTGTTGATTTCCTAGATATGTACTTGAGATGCCCGAAGTTCCGAGGAGCTAATGTTTTGTTGGCCCCGAAACGTATTTAGCTAAATAGGGCGATCACAGACTCTAGGCTGACTGACTGACTGAAACATGCATGATAATGCATGCATCATCATGCAACACGAAATAAGTTATATATATTATTGGGAGTAGATACTATTATAAGTACAGAGAACAGGACTACAGTACAGACTGAAGTCAACAACTCATTACGAAGAACACAACAAGTTGACACAACAGGTGGAACAAAGACTAATATAGATCTAGATCTAGATCTAGACCTAGTCCTTTTATTTTTGTCAACTCAGTTCAGTACTGGTATTCAGTCTCAGTGTAGATCAAGTGAAGGCTACACGGGGAGAGAGTGTAGTGTAGACAGACTAGAGATCTAGAATTCTAGATATAGATCTATCTAGATTTTAGATCTAACTCTAGATCTAGATAGATCTAGATGTATACGCGCACAATTGCGTGCAACAATAAAAAATTTTGCTATATAGATCTATACGCCACGCACGCAGTTGCGTGCACCAAAACTTTTTTTGCTATTTTTATCTGGTTAGGGGGGGGGAGGGAGGGGTGTGCTGGCCCTTACTTGTTAAACAATTGGTGCAGGCACTTTTCAGATTTTTTTTAGTCAGACTTTTTTAGTTACACACTTTTTTTTATTCTTGCTGATCTGATTGTACTCAAAATAAATTCTTTTTTATCATTCAAGAAGCTTCTTTTTAGTCATGATGTAATATTTCCTTGGACTTTCACAACTTTAGTTGAAGCTTATATATATCATATTATATACCCTTCTCTCCTGAACAGGATGACAACCACAAAGCAAGTAACCTGATCACAAGTGATGGCTTCAAACGCTGGTTGTCTAGCTCCAAAGACCGTAGTGGGAAGATAGAGCTTGTGCTTCAACTGGATGAACCCTGCCAGCTGGCTTATATTGACATTGGTACCGACTGCAACTTATTGAACTTTAAATTTAAGCACCGTAGTTGTTTCAGTGTAGATTGATGTAATATTTTCTTTGTTGATTTTTATGGACTGTAATTTATTGTTTGTAGTAGTAGCGTCAGTGTAGACTGTAGTCATATATTTTTGGTGCATGTGTAGGTTGTAGCTTATTGTTGATGTAAAAATATCATTTTAAATTGTAATTTGATTGTTTTACTGATTTAATGAGTGAACATTGCGGATTGTGGTAACTGAAACTGTGACAGTTTTAGTTCACAGCCAAGATAAGAAGAAACTCTCTGACTCTGATACCACTTTCAGTGTAAATATTGTAATCTGTAACAGTGGTATGTATTGGTAACATGCCATGTGTTTCTTTTTAGACCATTTTGAAATATAATACACAAACTGTCTAAAACTGTGATATAATTTTTTTTTAAACAGCATTAGGAATCATGTTGAAAAGCTTCTCATATGTCACCATAACTGTTTATGATTTATGAATAATTTAATGTTTCTTTTTCTTTCTCTATTCTCATGGAATTAATCAGAGAACTTAAACAGATGGGTGACAGTGACAGGGAAAGACCTGGACAATAGGGGCCTACTATATGTACCGGTAGAGATTTTTTTTTTACTGTATCCGAGCAAAGAAATGGCAAATCATATTGTTTCAGATTTGACTCTCCTCAGTGTTGGTGGTGGTGATTGTCACATCCATTTCTACCTTCATAAACCTTTTAGGATGTGAAGAAATAAGTTTTTATTGATGGATATTTAGGCCCGTTCTCTTTAACTTTAACCGCCTTAGTTACAATGGTTTTCTCCTCCCAGGTACGGTGTGGTGTGCGAGCGTAGAAGTGCGTGTGGGCTGCTCCGACTGGCCACAGAGCGCAGAGTTCGAATCTCTCACCCCGACGACGACTCTGATGTCGCCCGTGGACTGCCAACTGAGCCGAGCCACCAACAGCACAAAAATGTTCTCAAAGAGTAAGTCAGACAAGATGATATGAGGTTTTTTCAACAGTTGGTGACACTTGGGAGTTCCATTTCATTTTGTCTCAGTAGACTCAGGGTTTAGTCTTCTTCCTATTTTTAAATCTCATTTTTCTACACACAATTACCGGAGCCTGTTGTCATGCTTTTTTTGTCGCTCTTCTTAACAGACATCGTGTTGTTGTAATTGGTCGCTATTAAGGACAAGTGGGCTAACCTAGATTTCGGGGGTTTCCAGAAATCTTGACCTACACCAAAAGTGGGCATTGCCCTACCTATAGCAGTAGTTTGGTTTCATTGGTGTGTATATTTGTTTGGTTATAGAGAAAACTCTCCTTGTATTTTAAGGAAACTGAACAAGGGGCAAAAAAGTTTACCTTTGATTTTCCCAAAACAGCATTTTTCGGGATAGCCCACGTGTGCTTAAAAGCGACCAAATTTCTTTCCTATTCCATGCGCAAATATTGACTTTTTTTTGTTTCTATTTCTGTACTTCAAAATAATTTCCCCTTTCTTAAAGTGATTTTACTGCCTTTGGCAATTGATTTTTGTATCTTAAGGCATTGCATGGAATGAACTTAATAATGACATCAATGGTGAATTTAGCTAGTTTCTACGGCAGTCACACTTTCTGAATTTTTCTTCTATTCCCTCTTTAGTAGAACCACAAGTTTCATCAAATGGGAATGTATTGAACCAAAAAAAATTCTTTTGGATGTGATAATTGTCTGTATTTGAAAAGATGATGTTGGTAACTATTTTACTATAGTCTGCAACAAAAATTGTTTCGAGAGTGTCTTATCTTGATTAATTGTGCCATTTTTTTTCCAAGGTGATTTTTCAACGGCTGTCGCTAGTCAGAAGTGGGATCGGCTCCAGGTCATCTGTCGACAGCCTTACCGGAAAGACGTGCAGTTTGGCGTTTCTTTCATTCGCATCAAAAGCAGCAATCAGAGTCAGCCAGATACAGTTTCCCAGAACAAAACTACCGGCTTGAGAACCCCAACAGGCAAGACTTCCACGCCCAACGTGACGGCCATTCAGAAACATTTCTTTGGAGGAAGCAAGAGCGTGGAGTAAGTACTCATTCTAATTTTTCTTTTTTTTCAATATTATGATGGGGCAGGACTATGTGCTAGTAAGTACTAATTCTGATATATTTTCAGTATTATGATGGAACAGGACAAAATACTAAGTTTAAGCCTTTTTTCTTTTTTTTGTGTAAGTGTTTTATGGCGCTCGCAACTGCTTAAGGTCTTATGAGCGCCCAGTCAAGCCTTCAAAATGATACATTTTGTGTAAAATAGTTTACAGTAAAGCCTTGGTAAAATATATATTCAGATTAGATACAGTCTCTTGTCTGAAATGTTCACTTTCTGAAGTCCCAAGTACTTGTAATATTTTTACTCTTTAAAAGCTATGTCAAAGATGCAAAATGTACTTCTCAATAACAAAGTTGATTTCTCAAGAATTTTTGTGATCAAAAGTCCATTAAAAAGTTTGTTGTTGTTTTTGTTTTTTTGCTTCATTTTACATTTGGCCCATTGTCACAATGAAACTGATTTTTTAAAAATATATATATATTGATCTATGAATTCAAACTTCATATATATATATATAATAATGAGCAAATTTTATACACATTGTCTCTGAATACTTTTTCTTTCTGTTTTTCCTGACAGTCAGCTGAAAAAGGAGCACGTGGGTCAGCTGAAGCACAAGTTACTCAAAATGTCCGGCAGCTCAGAAGGAGGCTGCGAGCAAGAACAATCCCTCTCCCGCACGGCTCAGATCGTGATGAAAGCTTCTGAGTCTGCCGGTCTGTTCAGTCCGTCTGCGAGACGCTACTCTCCAACACCCCATCGACGATTGTTCTCAGAACATCTGGCCAAAAAACAGTCAGTACCGGTAAGTGGTTTAAACGTACAGTGATAAATCAAATCCCTTTTTTTTTTCTCTATAAGTGTAAGTACTATGAACCTGGCTATAACAGGGTCTAATTTGCGCAGAAATGTGATGTGTCGGTATATCGCTGTCTGCAAGTTTCGAAGTTCTTGTTTCCGTTCTTGTTGGTGTTCATTCTTGTTCTGAATTCACCGACTGTACTCAGCATCACATTGTTTTGTTTTATACCATTTCCTGTTTCGAAGATTCATGTGCAGGTTGTTGGTGGTAAGTTTGCTCCTTCTTTTTTATCAAACATCTATTGTCCTTATCGCTTCTCCTTTTGTTTAAATATATTAGTCTAATAACACCTCAAATCTCCAGCACTTATGTGACCTGTTTGTGTTGCAAGTGCCACGAAATCCTTGTTAAAAACTTAACAGACTTCATGTATGGTATGTTGTAATATCTAGGTCAGGCGTACGCAACAGACGGCCCACTGACCACAGTCCACTAGCCAGGAAAGTCAGCGTGGCCCTTTCTGACCGTTTTCTAAAAATAAAAGTGTTCTTCATACTGTTGGGCTTACTTCCTCTTCCTGTCCAACCAGTCAGATCCTTTTTTTTTTAATGGTGTTCTTTCGCCTCATTGATTAATGTAATATAGTTGTTTTTGGTTTTTTTAAATTTCAGATTGAAAAAGAAATGGAGCATTTCTTTCCAACCCTAGAGGTGTCAAAATGTGATATAGATCAAGTCACTGTTGCAGGTGAGAGATGTTTTATGGGTATCCTGTAGCTAGATGAACTTGTGCTCAGTAAGACGAGGTCGACAGCATTGTGATTTTTGTTTGCTTCACTTTTAGTTTTGGAAGAGAAAAGTGTTTGTCCCAGACCGTGTCATTATACAGTAGAACACGGATAGGTCGAACACAGAAGACTCAAGATCACGCATCCGTGGAACTGTGCCTGCGGTCTCGGATTTTTTTCTTTTCTTTTTTATCTTTGTAAGATATCCCTCAAACTATGGATCCCTCAAACTACCGAGGCCGGTCCTGATGAATTCAAGCTATCCTTGTTATACTGTGTATCTAAAACACATAATGGGGAAAATGCCTTTTTGGACAGACATCCGTTAGAGCAGGTTTGACTGTATATTAATCTGTCCCCATCGTTTTATGCAAGAAAAATTAGAAATTATGAAAAACTGAGCCCAAAAATGTGAAATTATGCGATTCTGTTAATTTTTAACAAAGAATGATAAAGAAAAATAATTAGAAATTAAGCAAAAAATTATCAAATTTGGCTAAAGTATGGGGGTGCATAAAACCATGGGGACAGATTAATTATAATTCAACATATGAGGACCGTCTTCTTCTCCTGCGCCTCTTCAGTGTTTCTTTTGGCTTGGTCTGTTACTGTTCTGCAGATTCCTTGTAATGATATCCTAATCTAATGATGACATAACGAAGCAGGTTTTTAAAAATCACTGGTTCGCTGTTTGGTCACCATGTCTGAAACACTTGTTTCATGCCTTTTGCAATTGACAAACTCACCATTCACAGTAGTCCTTACAGGAAAAGCTTACCAATGCTTTGAAAAAAATGATGTGAATGCACTGACAGATGTTTATGATGTAACTTGAGTCAGTGAGAGTACATGAAATTAGAAAGCATTTTGCTAATTGATAAAAATCTGTGATAAGTGATTTATGTCATGATTGCAGTATGATGAAATATGATATTAATATGTCTGCCTTTTGTACTTTCTAATTTCATTTAGACTGGATTGTTTTGTTCTTTTTTTTTCCGCAGATTTGCGGCATAAATTCGAGAGGAGGATAAAAAGGAAACTGACAATAGAGGAGAAACGAACTTTTTCAGAAGTTTGTCAAAATTACATCTGTGGTTTATTTGATTCAAATCCTGGTGAGAAGGAAAGCACATCTATCTTTGACCTTCAACCCCCTGAGAACATAGCTACGGTCAAAAGGTCGTCGATGTCTGAGAACATAGCTGCCGTCAAAAGGTCATCGGCGTCTGAGAATGTAGCTGCGGTAAAAAGGTCATCGACGTCTGAGAACATTGCTATGGTCAAAAGGTCACCAGCGTCAAAGGTCAGTTCAGTCAGTGCAGCTTCTCCCACCTTATCACTGCGTGCTGGTAAAGACGACGATACATTCACTGTTGTGAAACCCCCGATAGACAAGTCCAAGTCTCCCGTTGTGATTTCTAAGTCAGCCGCAAAACCTTCACCTTCTCCTGTTGGTGGAAATAAAGTCGGTTCAAAAATGATGAACATATCTGCGCTGAAGTCCCCTCTGTCAGTGTTAGTTAAACCTGTGATTGGTGCTAAATCAAACGTTTCTGATACAAACAAAGACGATAACAGTGATGATAGTGATCTGAGTGGCGGCGTCGATGATGTGGAATCTTTATCAAGTGTCTCGTACCACGAAGATGACGATGGAATTGACTGTGATGTTTCTGACACTCGGATTTCGGAGAAAGCTGACCCATCAGCCCCTTGCAGAACGCTTGCGGAAGTGAATCGATCGTACGCCAAACTGTATGGGGAAGGGGTAGTTCTTGATTCCTCCAAACCGAAGAGCTACGGTGATGAAAAAGAACGTGTTTGCACAAAAAGTCCAGATGCTAATGAAGACAATCTTATTCTGTCTGAACCAAAGAAAAAGAAGCGCAGGAGGAAACAAAATGACAATAAGAAAAAGGGGCGAGGAAAGCGAAGGAAACTCAATCAGGATAGTTTGGATTTGCTCAAAGATTTTTGCTCTTTGATAAGCAGTGAGGAGGAGGACACCGACTCTCAAACGATGACGCAATCTCTGACCCCTGGCAAGAAAATCAACGACAGGAAGTCAACTTGTGATGCTGAGTCAAAAATAGTTGAGAATAATGCTGAAGATAGCCAGATGACCCAACAGCCCAAACCCTTCACGGAGGTCACAACAACCAGAATAAACAGACGTGCCGACAGCCCCGGGGGAAGAGTCTACCGGATGTACTCATCTACTACCAAATCAAAAAAGTCGAACAGGCATTCAGAAAACGAGCTTGCTGGCGAACTTTCGGGATTTGTGATGAGGGTCGGTGAGGACAAAAGTGAGGATATCGCAAACGACGTCAGTGATGCGTTATCCCTGAAGAGGAACAAGAACAGAAAATTTGGGGGAAACGTGTCATTTCCCAAAACGTGTGATCAAAACAATCGTTTAAATCGGAGTTCTGAGCTTCAGGACAGCCCGTGGAGAGCCGAGTCAGATTGTGCAGGGGGAGATCGCGGAAGAGGAAGGAGAGGATCTGAGGCGTCTGGACGAGGGCGTGGAAACAGGAAGAGGGGAAGGAAGTCTGCTGGCAGAGGCAGGGGCAAGTAAGTTGTTTCACAAACTGTCGCTGTTGTTATGTTATATATATTTTGGTAAAACGTTTCATATATATAAATGTACTAATTAGTGTAATTTTTTTGCCATGCTCTTTTAGGAAACAGTCCTCTCAGTATAAAATGTGTAGCTGATTTTGGAAATACATTGTGTTACCTTCGGCTTGTTTGAAATATAAGAATGTTTCAAGAACAATTTCTCACTTTGCTGATAAAGTTCTAGGGGGTTTTGGAGAAGAAACACAGTCAAACAGTTGAAAGGATCGACCTGTCCTAGAAACATGCCACAGGGTTATTTGAATTTTCCAGCTGCGTGTTTGAGCTTGTCTGAAGAGAAATGGTCAACACCTAGAGCATACAATTTTTAAATAGCCACCACCTTCACTGAGTTTATTTGGCAATGTCAATTTTAAACATGAATAAATTTGTTCTCCATTGCACTGTGGTTGATTTTTAAGAACTGACTTGGTTTTGTGTTTCACTCAGTTTTGATTACGATTCGTAAAACTTGATATTTCTCAAACACATACGTTGATTTTTTTTTCAAATTATCGACAAATTTGAAGCCCCCTTGGTTTACTTTGATTTGCTCCAAGTTTTGTTGAAATTGATCCAAAGTTAATGGAGCTTCTGTCATTTTAATGGGTACTCTTTTTTTTTGAGACTCCTGGTGTCTTTTAAAATAGAAAACAGAACTTGTAGTAATCTATGATATATTGCTGACACTTGTATTTGTATTTTTGTTTTCAGGTCGCAGGTAGAAGAGTCAGAAGACAGAACCAGCAACGATGATGTTCAGACATTCTGCGACAAATGCTTCGGTAAGTTGAACTATCTGGACCAGCCATGGGCAAACTATGGGCCACGGGCAAGGTCTGTGACATAAGCAGTGTTAGTCTGACCCATGAGTTGACTCAGAATTAATCAAGGAATATGGACCACTGTTACCACTGTTGTTAGTTGAAACTTGAGAAAGCAAAAACTAAAAAGGAAACTAATCTTTCTAGCCCAGCTGGAATTTGATTTCTCTAACGTTTCATCTCATCATGAAATGCCCTTTAGTGACATATATATGCTAATTGTAGTGCTAGTTTTAGCCTCACTTTTGAGAGCTTGGGTATTTTATTTCACCCAGTTTTTTCCTGCTTTGGCCCGTTGGCCCAGGCTGAGCCTTAAATGCCGGAGCCTGCAATCTCACGTTTACGTGTCCAGTAGCTGAACAACTTGACTAGCAACATCGCTCAAATATTGCTTCTGGTAATGTGGTATATGTAATTGTATTAAAATCTCAAGGATTTGACTTGATTTCATTTGCTTCATAGCCACGATTCTGCCATGTTTGGACTGGTACATGCACAGTTTTTTGAAGTTTCCAATCTCATCCTTTTTTTTTTTTTGCTTGCTCATCGTGATTTCAACTTATGTTTGTTTGGGTTGTATTCATTCCACTTTTCGCAAATTAATATGTAAAGTTGACTCTGTTTAACAACAACACAAAATTCCTGTTATCATGAAAGTAAAAGGATATCAAGTCCTGGCCGTTTTTTTTACTTTCCCCCTGTATGCATGTAGACCCTACCATATTGAATGAACTATGCATTGCGCTAAATCTGCTTAACAGGCAGAAAGTGTCCGGCTTAGTGACGTTCTTGTTATAGCACTTTTACTGAGACTGAGAGAAAAGATCTTGATCAGCATCTGTGATCTAATGGTTTTGGGCTCTTTTTTTTTTTGTCTTGGTGTTAAATTTGTTCGTTTGTTTTTGTTTTTTTAACTACTGGTACCTTGGAGAAGTGGTCTACTGTCAGTAGTGTCAGAAGGGAATCAAACATAAGTGGAATCTTGTTCCCGATTTTCCTTTTTGCTTCCATCTGAGGAATGTCTTGGCTTCTTGTCCTTTTTGTTGGAGATTGCTATTGGGAAGCCGAGAATGTTTTTGAGTGTTCTGAGGTCTTTTGGGGTAAGAATAGTTGTAAAGTAGACCTACATTCAATTTTAATCTATAGCATGCTATTGAGTGTGGTCATGTGCTATATAAATGAAATTATTAATTTTTTTATTATCTCAGCCACCCCAAGTAGGCCGCACTACACAGGAACACAGCAACCGCTGTCCAAAATAGTGTATCTGTCCCCGTGGTTTTTTTATGCATAATTTCTGATTATTTTCCTTCATCATTCTATGTTAAAATATTAAAAGAATCGCATAATAAAGATAATTTCACATTTTTTTCGCTCAGTTTGCTTAATTTCATAAATAATCTTTTTTGCTTAAAACCGCGGGGACAGGTCTATCTTGTGCTGATGGAAATGTATCACTATCACTAAAACATACCCAATCATACTGTCAGTCAATTAAATTAAGGATATTTTGTGTCTTTCAGAGTTCTTTCCCGACGACTTTTTTCCGCATCACTACTTGCTGTGCCAGGCTGGTAGAACCCACGCCACAGATGCTATAGGTCAAGGTCACCCACGGGACGAGTACTTGATCGACGAGGACGTGGACTACGCTGAGTGCCCGATATGTCTCCGCAAGTTCCCTCAGGACGTCCTCACGGTCCACGCCAGCGAGTGTGGCCTGTGATGGGGCCTCGGACGTTACTATGATGACTTTGACGAGACACTTTACGGTTTACCGCAAGGTTCTTCCCTCCGCTGGCATTCATTGCTCTCCCACTTAGTCACTTACTCTTCAATAAAGCAGATTTATTTTTCATGTGTGTTTGGTGTAAGTCATTGCTGGATTAGTTGGAACAGGAGTACCACATCAGAAAGAGTAGCGTCACGTGCTTGTTACATTGTACAGGTATTAAGTTTGAAGATGCTCTGTCCAAAGCACCTCGCCAAATTCCTTAATCTTTGAGATTTCTCTCCGTCTTCTGACATCACATCTTGTATCCTGCCCCGTAAAGGCCTACAGGATCTGTAGCTCAAGTCTTAGTTTTACAGCACTTCCAACACAAACAGGTCAGATGTATGTGCATAATTAAAGTGTTACTTCTACAGTAACAGCTAGAGTAACTATCCTCCTTTAACTTTTGTCTCCTCCTTTTTTGTGTTTGTTACCCTCTTGTTGTATCACCTCTAACTCTGTCATAATTACATGACCTAATTGTGTTGCAAGTGCCATAAAACTCTTTCTAAAACTAAAAGATAACAGAGATATACACTACACCACAGCTATTTGTTTGCTGCACAGAAAGTAGAAAGGTTAGGGTAGTCGTGCTCAGTCTTGTAAGTTGTACCAGAGTCTACATAACAAGAGGGGCCACTTCTCTCTTTGAGCCAATTAAAAAAGTGTCCTCAAAATTCGGTGGCGCCCTCTTCGCAAATGCGCACCCTTTGCGAACAGAGTTACCCTACTTGAGTTTAAAAAATCAAAGTGAAACTAGCAAGTTTTTAAATAAATTTCGGAAGAACACTTTTTTTAAATGGTTACGCTGACAAAATACCTCTTCCGGAGGAATGGGTGATTGTTTTCTTTGTTTAATTTGACTTTAAAATGAAAGGCGAGAGGTCATTAAAAAAAACAACCCTAAAACTCCGCACTGAACGAACCCGAACTGCTGATGAACAGCAGTCGATCTGTGCACGCAAGGAGGTGCTATTCCTACTCTTCTTCTGGAAAAACGAAACAGAGCTTCAAAACAAACTGCAGCACCGTCTGAAGCAAAGAGCGAACTTCCTGCGGACACTTTTTTGGCTGAGTGGCCCATCTTGTTATGTACTATCTTTGGTTGTACTCTGGTCCAATCGGTCAGGTTGTTACAGAAGCATAATATTGTGAAGTGTGCTGACAAAATGAGTTACTTCTCGGATTCAAGCCGTATGGAAATTAACTTATATATTGTATATATAGGTGAAATTTTTACAATTTCTAAGTATGAAATAATAAAAGTATGTTATAGTTAAAGAATATGGCATCAGTCGTTCTGTAGAAAATCTACAAATTGACACTAGTGTCGATTTTTGGCCAACATCTCCATTTCTGGGTTGCAAGTAGCAACTCATTTTGTCAGCACGCCTCACATATATATATATAAATGTCCATACTACTAGACAGGACAAATAAACCTGTACCAAACTGTCTTTGTGAACTTTTGGTCGAGATAAAAAAAAATTTTAAAATAACTTTCATAGCAAAGTAGTGCTAGAATTATGCATTATATCAGATTATTAGTGCAGAAAAAACTACATATCATGTGTGGAAGGTTACAAGGTGCGTTGTTACACACATGTGTGCAGTGGGTTCATTGTTAAGTTGTTTTTTTTTAAAGAACGTTCCAACAAAGCCGAGGACACCTTGTAAGTTGACAGGTCTGATCTACGACTCATTGTTTGGCCCCCCTCATTGTCACTTTACTTGAGCTGCATCCCAGCTAAAGACAACCGAGTTCCCAACACCACAATTGAACTCTGGTGTTTAAGTAATGGCAAAGAAACGAACTACTACACCACAGACACTACCTCAGAGTTACAAAGTTCTACATGACATTTCGAGTTAAGACCACGAGGTCAAAAACTAAATGTTCTATCTGCTCTATCAAAATCATAAAATTATTCAGAGTCGGTATCAAGATATTTTTAAAAATTGCATTAAAAAATCTTGCCGTATGAAACTCAATTTTTAAAAATTAACAATATTATCATCAAGTTTCTCAAAACAAGGTATGGAGCTGATAGAACTTCGTAATTCTAGGACAGCATACTATTTATCATCCAACAGCAGCAAGACTTTTCAGCTATGGCAGGCGTAGATCCAGATGTGATTGCAAAATATCAGGATGAAATAAAATGAACACCACACCCAACACACGTTGTGACGGAAGACGATAAAAAAAGGTGCCAAGACGTGATTATTAAGCATTAGGAAATAATTTAATCTTAACATGTGTGTTTTCCCAGACGTGACAAATACAGACATGCTTGCCGTCCATTTCCGACACACACAGACGAGCTTGATGAAGGGGATGAGCTGCATATACATGCGTGTGTGAGCGTTTCAAGATGGCCGGCTGGCTGCGTCCTAGCATCGTGTTATATATTATATATATCCCAGCGACAGGGACAAATTGGCAAAGCATCCTTTAGTTTTAGTCGAGGTTTTACGGCGCTTGCAACTGCATACAGTCATATGAGCGCAGAGGAGTGGATGTCAACAGACAAGTCCTTACAGGTACAGGGAATCAGACTTACTCTGCTCACCTCTCTAGCCTCAACAGCACAAAGTCTGCATCGACTATCAAGGCACCCCAGAAATAACAGGTCACAAGAGTGTGACAAACATGCAAAAGAAGTAGAGGAAAACAAAGACAGTAAAGATTAGGAAAGAAAAAGCAGCAGTTCCCTGTTGTAGATCAGGCACAGTTATGAGCATGACATTGTTGGATCAGCCCATTTACAATTCTACTGTGCATTAGAACGAGAAATGTCCTCCCTTTGGAAATGGCCTAAAGACACTTCAGTCAGTGGCACCGCCCCGGGCGGTGCTGGCAAAGCATCCGGTGTGAGCCATACTTCGTGTTACATAATGACATGACAAGCTTCCTCCCTGGTACAAACACGCTGTCCGTGAACCCCCCACCCTCTTCCAAAAATCCCCCAGACCTCATCTCATCTATGATCTAGCGATTGGTAAATGCCAGAGACTGAGAGTTTTGCAGCACTTGCAACACAATAAGGTCATATGAGCGCCAGAAGATTAGAGGTGTTACAAGAGAGTAACAAACACAAAATAGAAGAAGGGGGAGACAAGGATGATAGATGTTTGATAGGAAAGAAGAAGCAAACCACACCAGAGCACCCGCCAACCACCCACTAGAACAAAAGCAAACGAGCGTGAAAGCTGTTGCGATAACGAAACACACAAACTTGTGCAGAGTGGATCACTAAAGCTCGTTGTACCGTAGTTCTCTACAATGTCTACACAGAGAAAGAGAAGCAACATCTTTAAAGTCAACGTACGGTATTTCTAAACCTGTTGTGTCAACTGACTGTTACCTACACCACACACTCCTCTGGGGTGGATTCTGAAGGGGGGGGGAGAGCAGAGATGGACATGTTCCGACTGTAGTGACCCCAACACTGCGGACGAGGTGTGTTTTCTACAACCATACAGATGGATGACATGCGAAGGTCCCGCAGACCTCAAGGAAGGAGCAGAGTTCCGAGTAGTCGAGCATTTAAAAAACCAGCAAGTCAGTTCCCTTATCTTTTTTCGTAAAAATATAACGTAGATGTAGTAACCATCAACTCGCTGAGGTAAGAAGAATCACTTCCCAAAAAGGTGATGTGTATTAGTGAACCGACAATTATACTTACACTTTACGGACATGTCTCAGTGAACTGACAATTATACTTACACTTCAAGGGTGAGTTTTGAGTAGAACACACGTTGTTATATCATTATCATGTTACAAAAAACGATGGCCGCGTTTTTATACAGCTTGTCTCAGACGAGGGAAGTGGAGGGGAAAAAACCAACCCACTGCAAAAACACAGAACTTAGACGCAACGCTACACAGCTATATATATTCAAAAACAGTGCTGGATACAAGTAGTGGCAACACCTTTCCTACAAATTATACTTGGATTTATACAAAACTTGTTATTTGAAAAGGAAGGAAGTGCTCTCAACAAAAAAATCCCTGAAAATACATTTTTATGTACACCCATCCGCACAACACCTCCAATTGCAATCAAACTCACATAATTATCAAAGCATTCATGGGGGAAAAAAAAAGCATCACATTATATAGATAACTATCAGGGAGAAGAGGAAGAAAACAAAATGATCAGGTAACGTAGGGCAATATTATTGCTTTGACAAAGGAGAATGAGATCAGCGAATACTCCCTGTTTACAAGTTACAAGGCTACTTTACAGAGCTTCAACTTCTCTGCTAAAAAAGTAAAGAAGTTCCCTTCTATCTTCAACGTCTTCGTGAAAAATTAAGAAGAAAATTATTTGTTAAGACAATCAAGTCTCTTGTCATGCTTTGATTTTCTAAAGAGCGTTCAGCAAAAACATTTGAAAATAACCCTGCTGTAATCAAAAAGGGTATTTTTTCACTCTGAAACGACCCATGACCAGCCCAAACTCTAACCACATCGGCTGCAGACGGCCCGAACGTGTCCACAGACGCTACTTTTGTTTCAATTTTACACGTTTTTTCAGTATATGTCTGTCGCTCCCCTCTTTTTTCTGCTAATTTTGTCTAGAACAAACTAATGTCATTCATAATGTCTAACTGGTGTAGCAAGATTTAGAAAAACTTTTCGCGAGGGGAAAAAAATAACTCTTTAAAAAAAATAAAATAACAACTCTAAACAAAATTCTTACTTTTGATTTTCTGTGTAGAGAATAGAGTTGTAGGTCCTACTTATTAAAAAGGTTATCATGTGTGGCTCATTATGCACTTTTGACTTTAGAAAAACAAAACTTTGGGGTGAAAAAGTGTTACAAGAACAACAAAATCTGAAGATAAATTACTGAAGGAAAAAGCAGTCCAGAAACCAGAGCAGACTTTCAGCAAGTAAGTCAAAACACCACTCTACAAAAGTGAAATCTAAAAAAACCCTACTACTTCTAAATCAAAGTAAAATGAATATTTGTAATGTCTACGGACTGAAAAATGAAAAAGAGGAATTTCCACGAGATTCTGGGACATTCCATTCTCTCTCTCTATCTACACAAGAGTCGCCACACAAAGTGGGAGAAACATGACGTACAACGCTATTGTTTTCGTGTTTCTTCGTTTATTATATCAAGGTCACACCTTTCCTACACAACAACACACAATCATACACACACACACACACTGGCTCACACATACATGTACCTATATATATGCATAAAATTTCCGAATTACCAAAACCTTTCATACGCATACATACATATATATGAGAACGCATCCAATGTTTCACTCTGTATGTCAAGTTAAATGTTTGCACTTTTTAGTTTTTCCATTTGTCCTCAGACGATGCTGCCGATCCACTGGTTTCTCATCTCGGTGAGGAGGTACCAACTGGAAACACAGTAGAGGCATTTAAGCTTTAGTTCAGTAAGAGTTTTACGGCACTTGCAACACAATAAGGGACCCACTGGAAACACAGGAACAGGGAACAGAATAGGTACTTAGTGATTGATGGATGAAACATTGTTAATACAGTACACATGATAACCTTTGCTCACTCTCTCTCATTCAACAGGAACAGAGAACACAAGAGGCATTTAAGCTTTAGTTCAGTAAGAGTTTTACGACACTTGCAACACAATAAGGGACCCACTGGAAACACGGAAACAGGGCAGAAGAGGTACTTAGTATGTGATAGATGAAACATTGTCAATACAGTGCACATAACCTTCTCTCTCTCTCTTTCTATCTCTGGTTCAAAAGTTCTATTCTGCATTGAAGTGTAAATTTATTATTTTTAAAATCATTTTCTGGCACAATGGCAGCATCACATAGGATTCGGTCTTACAACATGATACCAAAGCTGTCTGTCATAGTGCCAGAAAACAATTTTTTTTAAAGAAAAAGAAATTTATATTTCAATGCAAAATAGAACTTCTTTAAAACATAGGGAATTCTTACGTACTAAAATACAGGAAAAAATTACTTTAAAGCACATGAGAAATTCCTACCTTAAAACACAGGCAAAACTCTTACTTTAAAGCACACATAAAAAAGTCTTACTTTAAAGTCCATATGAAATTCTTACTTTAAAGCACGTAAGAAAGTCTTACTTTAAAGCACATAAGAAATTCTTACATTAAAACACAGGAAAAACTCTTACTTTAAAGCACACAAGAAAGTCTTACTTTAAAGCACGTAAGAAAGTCTTACTTTAAAGCACATAAGAAAGTCTTATCTCCCCTCGACGCTTAACGGCAACAGAGGATGAAAAAGTAAAAGTAAGTAAGTAAGAAAGTCTTAGTCTTACTTTAAAGCACATAAGAAAGTCTTACTTTAAAGCACATAAGAAAGTCTTACTTTAAAGCACGTAAGAAAGTCTTACTTTAAAGCACATAAGAAAGTCTTACTTTAAAGCACGTAAGAAAGTCTTACTTTAAAGCACGTAAGAAAGTCTTACTTTAAAGCACGTAAGAAAGTCTTACTTTAAAGCACGTAAGAAAGTCTTACTTTAAAGCACATAAGAAAGTCTTACTTTAAAGCACGTAAGAAAGTCTTACTTTAAAGCACATAAGAAAGGCCATCATAACTCTTCAACACTTCTCCGCACCGTCCGTGTCACCTTCTTCTTGAATTCCTCAAAGTTTTCTCTCCACATTTTCTGGGAACAACAACAAAAGGAAACAGAATACATTAGAAATGAATATAGAGGGAAAGTATCAAATATCTAGTCGACAGCCGCAGCAATCAGGGATTCAAAGAGAAACTCTTCCTTAAAACAAAATCCACAAGACATAGGCTGAGACCAGCAAGAGTTACATCTCCACAAAAAAACGTTCCTGCCATTGGTGCATGCACTTTTTCACCCTCATCACCTCTGCCAATACTGCCCTAGCATCAATACATTATTTCTGTAATATTTTCGTCCCACTTTGACCTCTTTTAGCAAATTTCTTAGTGCTGTTGACATCTAGGCAAGACTTTATAACTCTTTAAATGTAGAAGCAATCAAACCGTTAATAAAAACCGTTAATAAAAATGTATACACTAGGGGAGATAAGAAAGCGACAGAATGGAAGCATGATCTCATAACCTTCACTTTCAAAGTAAAACATTTACTCTATTCTGGTTTGTGTGTAATGTTGAAGTTATAATGAAATTTTACAAATAGATCATAGCTTATTAGTGTGTGGGTGTGTGTGTGTGTGTGTGTGTGTGTGTGTGTGTGTGTGCGTGCGTGCGTGTGTGCGTGCGTGCGTGTGTGTGTGTGTGCATCTGTCTTTTTATGAATATGTACAAAGGTATGTCACTGTGTAGTAAACATGTGCCCCTAAGACACAAAAAAAAAGAACCCCTCTCGTAGCTCTCGTCTTACCGCAGCGTCGACATTGGCGGGAGATTCGTCGTTGGGGTCGGCCAGCATGGAGATGACGCTGATGCAGATGGTCTCCACCGTGTGCACGGGGAGCCACCGCTCCGCTGCCTTCTCGTAGCCGTACTTGTCGTCGCCCGGCTCGTGCAGGATGGAGATACATACATTCCCTTCCTGGTCGACTGCAGGGGACACATTCGAAACATAACAGAAGATTACAATAGTGTGGCGACTCAACTGCAGGGGGCACCATCAATACAAAACGAAAGGTTACAATGGTGTAGCGACTTAGTTGCACGACACCATCGAAACATAACAAAAGACTATGATAGAAAGACGTAGACTACTTATACTGACAAACTTTATACGCTCCTCACTATGAATGTATCAGATGTACCTGCCACGAGACAACCCCTCACACCTCCCTACCTTTCAAAACAACAATACTTGTGACGATGAGACAACCCCTCACACACCCCTACCTTTCAAAACAACAATACTTGTGACGATGAGACAACCCCTCACACACCCCTACCTTTCAAAACAACAATACTTGTGAGACTGAAAACTTAATCTCTTCATAATCCTATCAGTGCACATTCTGCTTACATTTCATGTTCCTATTATCAATACAATATGCAATAATTTGAGGGGTAAACAATATATTTTGGACCAAATTTGTCAAAGCCATATAATTATTTTTCATAAACACACCCTGAGAGTCTAAAAATAAGTTGCATAGAAACATGGACTACCTATCAGTAGGGAAAGAGTTAAGAACTATTGTGTCAATACAACTTAAAACGTTAACCTTAAGTCAGTGACTCACTGTCTGGAAACAAACTTCATCTTTGGCAGCCTGTATCTGTAGGGAAAGAGTTAAAAACTATTGTGTCAATACAACTTAAAACTTTAACCCTATGTCAGCGACTTACTGTCTAGAAACAAACTTCATCTTGGGTGGCCTATATCTGTAGGAAAAGAGTTAAGAACTATTGTTTCAATACTTAAAACTTTAACCCTAAGTCAGCGACTCATAGTCTGGAAACAAACTTCATCTTTGGCGGCCCTGTATCTGTAGGGAAAGAGTTAAGAACTATCGTGCCAATACGGCGACTCACTGTTTGGATGCCACATGTTGGAAACAAACTTCATCTTTGGTGGCCTGTGTGGGTATTCTCGAGGGAACAGGAGATGAGCTTTGAACATTCCACCTTCACTGGAAGAAGAAAATTAAGAAAATACAAATAAAAAATTAAATATACCATCTTTTACAAAAAAATTAATAATTTTAACTGATTTATGAATGTCTTACAGTCATATAACATTTACTGTACTTTAATACTAAATGAATGATAATATTCTTCTTCATTACTGCTAAATCCATATAGTTGGATAGCAAAGTAAATTTTAATTGGTCAGGAGTTCAATATAGCCATTGGACAGCGCAACAGAAAATTGTCAAGACAACTTTTTGAAACTAAGACTGAAGCAAGAAACTTTTTTTCATCAGTGCAGGGCAATCAAAAACTGAAAACCCAGAACACCAAGTTGTAGCTCAAATGAAAAAAGTAAGCACCATCATCCGAACATAAATTTTGTAATGCTTTTGCAAGATATTATAAACAAATAAGGCCTGTAACATAATTATTATAAATAATAATAACTCGTCTGTCAATGTCAGATGATGATCATAGGCCCATAAAATAATGCAGTACTTACTATAGAGTTTCAGGTGGACCGTAAATCACTATTTCCCATTTGTATAGGTCATCATCGTCGATCAGACCGGCTGAAAATCCATCTACTGAGCTTTTGCACAGTTCTGTGGAAAAAAGAAAAGAAAAACATAACATACTGAGAGTACACACTTTGCACTACAAAAATGGTCTACATTATTGAAGTGGCTATTTGGACTCGAGTCTGAATAGCCTCCGTTGCTATTCGGACTCTAACTCCAATGTGCATTACTTTGAATGACTGACTTTTGTTCCCTTTGGAAGGGTTTTAACATTTCTCTTTTTAATTTCTAACTGGACTTATAATTGATCAATGATTTTGTCTTTCTCGTCAAATAAAGCTAGCTATAGAAAAAATCCTTTATTGTGCTGAAACTTTGATTTTTTCCACTGCTTTGACTTTGATCTCAGATTGCGGTTTCCCTGTTTGCCTTTGTTGTGTAGTATTTCAGATTTTGCAACTGCTGTTCACTTTTGACATCAGTAATACTTTTCTTAATTTGTGTCTAAAATTTTGGCCAAATCGCGGAAGGCCAAGGTCAATAGCCTGTCCGCTTCACATCCGGTACACACATTGAGTTTTGAGTCCGAATAGCCATGGGAGGCTTATTCAGAATCGAGTCCGAATAGCCGCTGCCTTACATTATTACTAAGGAAGGACTTCCGTCACGAGGGACTACCCCAATAAAGAAGAGACCTAACCCTAACCCTGATCCAATCCCTACCCCAAACCCTCTATTCTACTCTGTTTCATAGGTCGCTCGATACGGAATTCCTCCCATAACTGATATTAAATCATAATCTTTTTATCATAATTTATACGAAGTAAAGAATAAAGATCAAGACATTTTTAAAAACTAAAAAATAGTCAATAATAATTTAACTCGGTACTACGTAATAGACACTACCTGGATAGCATTATAACTTGTGCCAATATTTATAACAGCGTTCATATTCCATTTTAAAAACGTCCTGGGTACTATTTTAAGCTACCATCTCATACACTCAGATATTCTATCGCCTTTCTTGGTAGATTTTTACATTTAGATCTACTCCCGCAAGCAGATGCACTACTTTTGGGGGACAACAAACATGGTATGGTCATTGAACCAGTCGAAAATCGATTGTTTTCAAGAAATCTCTCAAATCTCATTGCAAAACATCAAATTGTAGGGAAATACAGAGGACATGCCCCCCCCCCCCCCCCCCCCCCCGAAATCTCCCAGATTTCTTTAATGCGAGCTTAAAGTGTTTTTATGCAATTAGTAGCCTACAAGAAAAATGTTACCCTCTGAACATGAGACGGGAGTGAAAGTGAAATAATCTTTCAATACCCACTTTTCTTTTCGAACATTTTTTACATGATATGAATTTGGATGTTAAAATCAGTTGATTTGCATGATTTGTTTCATGGTCAAAATAAGTTTTACAGCACTTGCAACACAATTAGGTCATAACAGAGCTAAAGATCAGAGGCGTTAGCGGGGGAGTGACAAGGACGACAGATGATTGATGGGCAAACCACACATGGGTCAGGTTAGAGCACCCACCAACCATCCACGGTCATGGTTGTTTGGGCCTATTAGATGACAGTTCGGCAGACCACCCATGCATGAAGTATTGATGTAAATGGTCTCACGTACACAATGAACTAGAGACGGACGGGAAGCGTTTTTTTCTTCCCGAGCGAGAAGACAGAGAAGCTGATCTACTTCTCGCCCCGGTCCCGAGAAGTGCTTCTTGTCTCGTGACCAATTTCTCTTCTCGCGCCTTTGAACGAGTAGCTCGCTCAGCGAGAAGGCCAGTCGTGGCCGGGATTTCTCTTCTTGCGTCGTTGGACGGGTAGATCGCTTAGCGAGAAGGCTGGCCGTGGCCTAAACTAGGCTAGCCCTGTTGCGCAGGCGGTGAAGGAAGGTAGGGAGACCTAGGCCTTGGCCCTGATCAACTCCCCACTCGCCTCGTCTCGCCACCCTCTCCCCTCCCTTTCAGTTTCAGACACAGGACGGCACGGTGATGGGTGACACTGTCTGCGTGTCATTTCTCGCTGGCTGTGCCGCTCTTTCCGTCGACACCTCTCACTCTCGTTACTCGTTACATCAATTCAACGAGCGTAATCACTTCTCGGTACCGGGCAGTAGTTTAGTGGCCGGGAAGTGACAGGAACGGCATTTTTTGCGAGAAACGGATACTCTTCTCAGCTCGTGCCCGCTCCTACAAGGAACTGCAATTCAGTAACTTAACGAGTTCGCCACAAACTTACCATCCCCATTGATCTAGATTTTTATAGAATTTAGAATTTAAGGAATTAAATTGAAATCAATGCGAAAGACTACTTTTTTACTAACTTTTTCTTGTCACTCCCATTTCCCATCCCCAAAGATTATGAAGTTTATCCCAGGTCCCAGAATGCCAATAGGCCTAGTTCATGGACATTGAGAAAAAAACAAGATTCGTATTAACTTGGTCGAAATATTGAGTAAAATTGAGCCGAGCAAGAGCATCCATCATTGTCAATATAATGACCACGACGACAAGAGCAGAACAGGAATGGCCGTGGTGTTGCCGTGCACCTGACCTGAGCAACACAAAGACGGGGCCGCTAAAATGTTCAATTAACACAAGGTCTATTTAACAAATGAAGTTTCTTTAGCCTATTTACAAAAAGAACAAACCTTTCAACTGTCTGCTCAGTAAGAGGGAGGCTTGTTCGTGGGCCATGCCCGAAAAAAAGATGATGATACTTCGACACCCAAAAGCCCGAGTTTGTGAAAAACGGGTTCGATAGTAAATAACCACAACAGGAATTGCGCATGTGCAATAGAAAGGGAAGTCAGTTTCATTTTTTGTAGTGCTCTCCCTTCCCTTTTCCCTCTTTGTTCTTCGGTTCGTTGAACACAGAGACATTCTAATTATTTTCTCATTTGGACCAATGACGACATATTCTGAGACTGCGCAAAGGCAACCAAGATGTCGCCAGACAGCGCGCTAAGCCTGAAAGCTATACTTGCTGAGATACATTAGTTGCAAACTATTATTAATTTGCTAACTGAGATTAGAAAGAAAAAAAACACACAACCAATACATGTACTTATAATAATAATAATGAAGATCATTTCTATAGCGTCCACTCCCGTGTAAACACAGCTCTAGGCGCTTTACATAAATGCATGTACGAACAATATTCACGCACGCAACACACACACACACACACACACACACATACAAATACACACACAAACACACACACATACACACTCACGAACACATAACACGCATACATGTGCACACACATGTAGGCCAAACACACACACACACACACACACACACACACACACACACACACACACACACATCTACTTGCTTATCACACGCACACGCTTACACATCGTCACGAAATGAGCATAAAATAATATACACACTGTAATTCACAAAATACATAAATGGATACATAGTCATTTACATAACATTGTATTGAATATGAATCTACTGACATGAAAAAGATGTCATTAAATGTGTCTTTTAAAGATTTTTTAAATCTAGGTTTCGCTATTATCATTGTCTCTTGCATTTATTTCATTTAAATCGCGAAAATGTTTCTCACTCTTTGAAGTAGGCTTTGAATAATTAGATGATTTTTTTTTTTTTAATCTGCTGCCTGCCAAGCACATCAGGGAGCCAAAGTTTGTCTGTTTTAGATATCTTATTTATTCATTTATGTGTATACATGTACTTCTTTACTGTGGGATAGGGGGGGGGTTGAGATTTGATCAAAGTAGTCGAGAGGGAAATGTAGTTTGAGTTTCCACTAGGTCGCCCGTCTCAGGAAAGAACAGAAGAACGTTCAACCAGATGTGCACTGGCACAGTCAGTAGAAGGACCCTCAGCGACATTTTGGAGAGAGCAACGGAGCATCAATGGACATGTCCAGAGTGCAGGGATGTTGCTTCCTGAAACAAGAACAAGAACAAGAATCTCCAAAATGTCTTCAAGGCCACTTAACCCAGTGTTAAGAGAACAAAAAGAAAAAACAAAAACAAAACAACTTTGGGAAACCCATATCAGGTGAAGTAGGCCTGCACTGCACTAAAAAAAACCCAATTCAATTACTCAAATTACTGTTGTTTTGTCATTCTCTGTTACATTTCAGAGCAATAAAAAAAAAAGTAAGGGAAAAAAAGCAAAATTGTACGTTGGTGTGTTTACTTAATTCGAGATTTTAGTTTTTTCCCCAAATTGGAATAAATTGTTCCTCATTTTATTTCTAGCCAAAAATAACATAAATTGTGTTAGTCAAAATGTGTGTGTGTGTGTGTGTGTGTGTGTGTGTGTGTGTGTGTGTGTGTGTGTGTGTGTGTTTTGGTAAGTGTTTTACGGCGCTCGCAACTGCATAAGGTCACAGGAGCGCGCGGCGACACACCTAATATTTTCAGTTGGTAGGAAATTTTGAATTTTGCCCGGGTGGCGGCCGAAGCCTACTCTTATCGATTTTAGACCAACAAGGGATCTTTAACGTGCACAACTTGCACACGGGCCCTCCGAGATTTTTCGCCCTTGTCCGAGAAGGCTAGGTGTAGATCTTTCCTACTAGAAGATCAGGGGTGTGGCAGAAAGACAGCAGTAAGGAGGAGCCAAGGAGTAGCAGTAGAAAGACTGCAGAAAGAGTCAGGAGCCCAAGGAGGGGGCAAAAGAGGTGAAGGGGTGGGGGCAGAAAGCAGACGACAGAGCATTGCTGGAGAGCAGGAAAGGAGGTGAAAGGAAACAATTTTAGAGAAGAACATTTTTCGGTCGTTACCCGGATTCGAACCCGGGACCTTTGAATGAGAGGCCAACACCTTAACCTCTAGGCCACGAGAGCCCCCTGTGTGTGTGTGTGTGTGTGTGTGTGTGTGTGTGTGTGTGTGTGTGTGTGTGAGGGGGGTTGTAGTTTGTTTTGTTGTGCTCTACAAAATAATATAACCTCAATGTCCCCACGAAAGTTTTTTCTGTCCAGTTGGTAAGTGTTTTACGGGGCTCACAACTACAAGGTCATATGAGCGCGCGGGGCATATTTAACATTTTCAGTTTGGTGGAAATTTAGATACTTTAGAATTTTGCCAGAGTGGCGACCGAAGCCTATTCTTATCGATTTTGGACTACAAATGGATCTTTAACGTGAGCGACTAGCACACTGGACCTCCAAGATTTTTCGCCCTTGTCCCACAAGGTTAGGTGTTCGATCTTACCTACCCTAGGGTTATAATGGGTGTGGCTGAAAGACAGCAGTAAGAAGGAGCCAAAGAGTAGTAGTAAAAAGGCTGCAGAAAGAGTCCGGAGCCCAGAGGAGGGGGGACAGGAGGGGAGGGGGTGGGGGCAGAAAGTGGAGACGAAAGCAGACAACAGAATATTCCTAAAAAGCAGGAAAGGAGGTGAAAGCTGTGTATTGTGTGTAAAAAAAAAATTTTTTCTGGTTTCTGTCTACAAAGATCGGTGACCTGTAGCCAACAGATGCTGTCTGCTCAACAAGAAACGTACGTTCTATGCATTCACTAAAGAAGCCCCCCAGTCCTGATTCACAAAATCTCAAAATCGTCTACCTCGGATCTTACATGACATAATATGTGTATTGCAAGAGCTGTTAAACTCTTACTTAAACTGAAATTTGCCAACAATGCACCCCCGCTCCCCAATAAATAAATACATGCAGAATGAAATAGATAAATACGATAAATACATTAATTTATTTTTTTTTACAAAATATAAATGAAGAAAGAAAGAAAGAAAGAAAGAAAGAAAGAAAGAAAGAAAGAAAGAAAGAAAGAAAAAGAAAGAAGCAGATAATAGATAAATAAACAAATAGATAATATAGATAAATGAATAGATAAATAAATAAAAATATCTAGCCCGTCGTGTCTTTGCTATCGTCTAATTACGCCACCATAATATATAAAGATTGCCATGAGAAAAGTTGACAGAGCAGGTGGACACGACAGCCAATCAACGTGCTTGATAGATTGGGAGCGAGCTAATGGATGATTGTCCAGTGCGCTTGATAGATTGGGGGCGGGGCTAAATAGATGATTGTCCAGTTCGTTCTGTGGTCAGTCCACACGGTGTTAGCCTGCTGGTGATTGGCAGACGCCACGGTCAAACTCCACTGGTCAGCGACTGACTGACTCATGACCGCTACAATGTTGTCAGAAAAGTTTGACATTTGTCCTGCCCTCTCCCCCCTCCCCCCTTACACTTAAAACATGATTAGTCATAATTAGCACCGATAAGATTGTGTAATTCTTGGCCTTCTTATTCTCTCTGAGTAATTCAGAAGAAAATGTAGATAAGTGGTTGAAGATGTCCGTGTGAAACTGCAGTGCAATATTTACTATTTACTATAGAAAAGAATATTCGTATTCATGTTGATGACCGAATGACGTCAGTGGTGTAGTATCGTTGCAGTCTCTCGCGGCACTATACTACTCAGACTCTATGGTGAAGATGCCAGAGAGTAGGAGGAATCGTGCGTGAGTAATTTTGCTTGAATATGTGTTAACTAGCTAATGACCTAAGACTCTGCTATCCAATGGTGAGAAACAATAGAGTACATGTTGGTAACTAGACGTAGCTGACTATGGTTCAAGTGGGCGTGGCCATGAACTACCATGGCTTAACATGGAGTACTGATGCCCAATGCCCGATGTATTGTCGAGTATTTCTTTGACGTTCCGACTGCATCCTGAGCGGCAGG